TCGTTTATTGAGAAGATTGCCGGGACTTGTGTCCCTGCAGCTGGATTTGGCTTACAGAATGGAGAAAGGTTTGGATGATAAGACGGTAAGACAGCAGACTGTTGGACAGGTGCACAGGTATGACAGAGTGAGACGTCTCGTGACGCGCACGTGGCCGCTGTTTGTAAACATACTTGTGCACAAAATAAAAATCATTACAACTTTTTCAGGAACAATTAACACGACAAACAACGTTGTGTCTTTATGTGAAAACAGGCATTAAACAGTGATCCACAAAAGGTCTACCAGTAGATACTCGATGTAGTGCTTGTTTTTTTTGTTTCTTTCAATGCATAGAATGTTTGCACTGCAAACCAAAGTATACAAACCAACGAAATTATATTTTAGGACAATTTTCCTTTAGAATGGAAGTATAATCATCTTTATCATGCGAGTTAACTAATATCCGCAGAGGAAGAATTCTGATTTGCCAAAATAATCATCATAATAAAAAATAAACAGAAAATAAAAAATCGGGAATTGAGTTTTGCACGGTGAGTACGTATATTCATATATACAGAAGCATTTGAATATATCTAACCAATCTAAATAACAGTAGGTTTCAGTGCAATTCCAACAAATACGAGCGGTGGTTGCCACCTTTATTATTTAAAAGGGACTCTGTCTAATTTTCTTTTCCTACTGATTTGTGAATTCATCAGAGCAGACCTTTGAAACACTGAATGATCACATTAGTTCATCAGCAAGACTGTGAAAAGGGATCTGCTTTGAACACATTTAATAATCAAAAATATAGCAGTTCCCTGTACGAATGAATAAATACACACATATGCCGAACATAAATAAATACATAAATAAATCAATTAGGATAGAGTTCAACTATGAGGTAATCCATCAATGGCTATTTTTCGTCATTCGTGGCGGGGGAGGGGGACAAAACAGAAAGCTGGGTGTGTCTAAGTAGAGTTGAACCGCAGAAAAGTAGTTCATCTGGATTACCTGTTATTTGCATACTTCAC